AGTGTCAGTCTATATAACTTCAAAATTCAAATATGGGGCTTGACTCCATAACCTTTGAACTGGAAGGTGAGAGTGCTACCAAGTCAGGCTGACACAATCTTGTTTCTAACAGATGCAGGTTCATAGCCCAGAACTGTCAGTCATTCAACAATGATTGGCAACATTGCAAGGATACTGGTATCATAAATGAAGATATCACAATGGTCCGAAATAGGTCCCATTTCTGAAGTTATTAACTCAGTATTGGACCAACATAGAGGGAGCTTTACACTTTAGCTAGCATGGGTTGGCTGTTGGGAGCAGACTCAATTTGTGCATTTAAAATATAATTGGATAGCCACATGCAGAAGAAAGGTATTAGAGGATATGGGAAAAAGCAAGGAATTGGGATTAGGGTAGATTGCGTCATTGGCAGGGAAACAAACTCTAAGTTGGTCAAATGCCTCCTACTATGTCATACATTTCTATGGTTGTGTTACATGTGACTCAGCCGTGTTAATCAAACAATACCCCTTACTTTGATGAAAACTGTTTCTTCATCCCTTTCCTGATGTAAGAGAATTGAATGCTAAACTTTGAATTAAAAAAAATGTTTGGGTATTATTTATCAATATGGGAATGGTTTGTTTAGTAGTCTGGCAGGAGTTATTTTTAATGACTAATTGTTCACCCCTTCCTGTCCTCAAAAAAATTAATCATTACATAGTACATGATAGGTATTTAATATAATTGAGGAATGGCATATTATTTAGAAAGTCCGAAACAAAATAATTGGAAAATACTTCTGAATATTTAATGAACAAAACCAGATTTGTGAGGCTAGGAAGGATAATACATTCCTTGAGCATGTAATGGTGGTTTCCCACACAGTAGTACGCAGTTTTAACCACTATTGTTGTTCGCCAGTTAAGAAGCCCGAAGTGCCTTTACTCAAAGATATGATGTAATGGTTTAATGAAATTTACGGCTTTATGTGCTGGTCATAAAAAGACTGCAGTTGTGTACTTAGTAAAGGTAATTGTGTGAAGTATACTGATGATGGGCAATTGCAATCAATGGGGTATTGTTTAGGTTTTTATCTTGGTAGATAAAAACAATAATTTGGATAAAGTATTAACGCAAAATCCCATGTAAACCTCGTTTTATTTCTATCTAAATACATAAAATGTCTTGTACAAAGTTATATTGTTTCCATGATGGTGGTGGTAATGGAATACTTAAGAGCTTTACAATTTAATTTAAAGTCATTTATACAACAAACTACGTGATTTTAAACCTGAGACATAAAGCATACAAAAATATAGAAGTCAAGAAGTATCAGAACGGCATTATATACATCACTTGCCTGCTGGAAAGAGTTTGGTGTAAAATGTTTTTACGTTCACCAAGTTAAAAAACCAAATATTTTACTTCACTATTTATAATGACTGAAAGATAAAATAATCAGACTAAGTACACCATTTAACATTAGCTTTTTCATTTTTTTAAAAAAATTCAGGTCAGAAAAATTAGAATATTTAAGATATTAAAAAGTCCAAACCTGAACAAATCCCTCAAAAGAGCAATCTAGCTTATAACATTAACTACTAATATTTCTTGCACCTCTTCTGGCTATTTTTTCCACAGTCAATTGTTCTATAATAATAATAATCCTTGCATTTGATATAGCGGCTTATCACATCTTCGAGATATCTCAAAGCACTTCACAGGATACACTGTAAAGTGAATACTTTTGTTTGGCAAAACGCAGCAGCCAATTGCACACAGCAGTGTCCCACAAACAGTTGTGGATTGAGTGACCAAAATTTATTATTAATTTTTTTGGAAGGAATCATTACCCCCTGAAAAGAGATCCGCCAATCGACTAACAACTGGGTTCCTACTTACTACTAGGTAAACAGAGGCGTGCGTGAATGTGTGTGGAGTAAGGAAACTTGCCCAACATTTAGCCCTGATCCGCCTGGGAATCGAACCCATGTCCTCTCTCTTGCGAGGCGAGTGCTCTAACCACTGAGCTACAGGACGCCATATAGTATATTGTCATGTTGCTAATGTCCTCTTACTCATTTAATTTAGCTATGCTCATCTAACTTTTGTGTGATTTAGATATGTTCTCTACTTCACTACTCACAAATAATACTATTATTATAATAGCATTTGATATACTATATTCCCCTACTCCTCCAGCTCATTCTCCTCCTTCGAGAAGCTTACCCTCTATCATTCTTCCAATATTTCCCTCAAAATTCTCCTGATTTATCATCCCGCTAAACCCTCCCCCAGCCTCATCTCTGATATCTCCACCCTCCTAGCTTCTCTCTGCCTCTGTTCTGAATGCCTCCAAATTCTAAGCAACTTCAACCTGCACTTTACCCTCTCTTGCTCTATCTCCACCGACTTCTCTTCGCACAACCTCTCCCTCACATTTACTCGGCCATCCACTCGACCAAGTGATTACCCGGGGTCTCAATGTCTCGGATATCACTATCATCGATAAAGCCATCTCAGATCACCATTTCATCTCCCATAACTCCCTCCATACTTCAGGCATGGCAGCATCAGCATCAACAGATGCACACTCCACCTCACTAAGCCAGTCAGGAACCTGGCTTGTTCGACCCTCAACTGTCCTTTCTGCCTCACATCCATGCCATGACCCACTCTGCCTTCCCCCACTCCCACAACATTGCTGACTCAGCCACTGCCTCACCCCAAAGGCAGCCAAAACCCTCATGCGAGCCTACAATACATCCAGGCTCGTCTATGCTAACGCCCTGCTTGTCGGCCCTCCTAACTCTTCCCAGCACAAGTTGCAGATCATCCAGAACTCTGCAGCTCGTGCCCTCTCCCACACCAGGCTCCGTGACCCCATTTCACCCACCCTTGCCTGGCTCTACTGGCTCCCCGTCCGTCAGTGGATCGAGTTCAAAACTCTCATCCTCACCTTCAAGACCCTCCATGGTCTTGCCACCTCCTACCTCTCCAACCTGCTAAATGTAATTTTGTATTGTGTGCTGTATTTATTACCCCCAGAGAAGTGATCTGCCAATCGACTAACAACCGGGTTCTTACTTACTGCAAGGTAAACAGAGGCATGTGGAGTAAGGAAACTTGGCCAACATTTCGCCCTCCCAGGATTCGAACCCAGGTCCTCTCACTTCCGAGGCGAGTGCTCTAACTGCTGAGCTACAGGACTCCACGATGAACAGTTGGATAAATTCCAGATCTAGTCATATTGACCCAGGAACTAATTAATAACAATAATCCGTCCATTTGATTTAGTACCTTATCGTGTCATTGAGACATCTCAATGCGCTTCACACGATACTGTAAAGTGAATTGACTGTATTTTGTGGGTGAATGCGGCATCTAGTGTATTTGGAACATTGGCAAAAAAATTTTTACTGAGGAGAAACCTGTAGTCTAAGCAACACAACATGCATTTATCTAATGCTGTCACGCAGGGTAACGTTGGTAGCACTTTAGCTTTGTATAATTTTTACACCGCTCTGTACAGGGATAACAACAATAGATGGTTACCGCCATGATCTAAACTTAAAATGGAAATATGGGCAATTATTTGGCATTGCATAAAATTAACTAATATCCAATTTTTCAAAATCCTCATGCCAATTATATAAAAAGCTACTTCAATATTAACAGATGTAATCTAATATGTTCAACTTTCATACAACATTTTCAATTAGTGTTTAAACACTGATGCAACATGAAGTAATTTTTTTCAAAACAAATGTTTAATCCAATAAAAAGGAACACAAGAACATAAGAATTTGCTTGTAAAAGAAGACCAACGTCCATCTAATTCGCCTTCTACCATCCTGGCAGTTGCTTGACATGTCGTGTCACAAACTGTATTCTGTATCCCGAAATATTATTTTCTAGCAGAAATCTATCTAATTTGTTCTTGAAATAAACATTTTCTGCTTCCACTGTCTCCCTATGGAGCCTGTTCCATAAGTGTACTACGCGCTCACTGGAAGTAGTGTTTCCGCAGAATTGTTCTAAATTTACCCCTCTTCAATCGCAGGCCATGTTTTCTGGTTCTACTGTTCAGAACAAGATAAAACAGCTCATCATAGTCTACATTATCTGTTCCCTTCAAAATCATAAAGTCCATAATAATATCACCCCTCAACCTTCTCTTCTCCAATGTGAACATGAACAGTTTATCTACTCACTCCTCGTAATCCAGTCCCTCCACCCCCTCAATCATTTTGGTTGCCCTCCTCTGCATCCTCTCGATTACTGCAATATCCTGTTATGTGACTTGAACTGTACACAGGATTCCAAGTGTGGTCTCACCAATGATTTATAAAGTGGCAGAATTATCCCACTATTTCGGCTCAATATTGCCATTTTAGTACAGCCAAGCATCTGGTTGCCTTACTCACTGATATCGAGCACTGTTGGGATAGCTTCAATTTATTATCAATCAGGAACCCCAGGTCCTTTTCATTTTCTGTAGGTTATTTTCTTACTATTTAAATAATAGTCACTTCCTGATTTTTTTTGTCCCCATGAGAAGCACTACATTTCTCTACATTAAATTTCATCTGCCATCGACCTGCCCAATGCCCACGAATTTTCAAATCCTCCTGTAACCTATCCTGTTCATCTTTGCAGTCTAACACCTTCATTACTTTGTGTGATCTGCAAATTTAGCCACTGTGTTTGTGTCTCCTACCTCCAGATCATTTATGAAAATGTTAAATAAGAGGTCCCAAAGTAGATCCCTGTGGAACTCCACATAAATTATAATGCATGCATACATTGTTCTGAAGGGATCCTTAAGGAAATTTTAGGCTGGAATTTTTTTTGTAAAGACAACAATCTTAGGCTACATTACGTAGGAACATTTCTTGAAGTAAAATCAACTTCCACATACAAAGCCATTATCGCTTGGGGGAAATTTATTTTATCAAATCCATTTACTTATGTTAAATCAGCGATGGTAAGTTCTGACAGTAAAATGTACTTACGACTTGGTTCATCAGTGGTAACAGCTTGAATGAAGTCCTTTGGGGTCATGTAAAATTGGCCTTCATATTCTACTGAAGCAAACTGCCTGAATCGTTGCTCTTGGGAAGAAACATAGAGTTCAACATCTTCAATGTCATATTCTTCAAATGCACTCTGAAAAAAAAATCCAATTGCAATCTTAAATATTTTGAAGGCTTAAAATGGCACAATAATCTTTTCATTTTATATAGTGCTTACAATGTCGAGAACACCTCAAACACTTAAAGTTTCTGTAAAATGCAGTGACTATCTGTACACACACATACAATCAATTGGTACCCAATTAGCAGTAATTAAGTAGTAATGAAAAGAGTGACCATTTTTTTCTAGAGGATTGTTGGTCAGGACACCACGAGAAATTCTCTTCTCATTTTGAGTAGAGGTGTCCACCTAAACAGGCAGACAGAATGCTTTTTTAAAACAATGATTCTCTACATATGAATGCAATGCCCGTATTTGCACACAAAATAAGCATACTACTTTAACAATATATCCTGTGAAGAGCTTTGAGACTTAACAATGTGATTAAGTGCTACATCAAATGCAATGATTGTTATATTTTATGCATCTATAATCATATGCAAGAAAGAAAATAAGAATCTGGAAAAGGAAAATATAGGAGTATGTCATGGGAGTGACTCTAAACAGATTTTTTGCAGAGAATTAGCACAGGCATGATTAATGGGCCAAATTACTTTCTTTTGTGCTGAAAAATTCCATTCTATAAAGAAAGAACCTGTATTTTTATAGAACTTTATTGTGTCAAAACAGTTAATAGATAATTGTTGTTAAACATAGAAAGCGGGAGAGTAGCTCAGGAGCACATTTAAAAATGTACACGCAAATAAAAAGCACGGAATAGCTGTAAGAAAGAGCAACGCTACATAGAACAACCCTTGCATTTGTGCACAGCCATGTCTCACATACACTCATTTTGCCTAGTCATGAATAACTAATTTTAAACAGAGATTGCTGGCCCGGACAAATGGGCTTTTGACTCGCATCTAATTTTGGTTTGACACATACTTTTTTTAATATAAAATTTATACCCAAATATGGTCTGTGTGGGTTGTGTGTATAATATATATTATATACACACACCTAAGCATGGCCTTCATTACAGAGAATCAGCTTTAGCAAATTAAAAATTCTATATTTAAAAAACCTCAAGAGGTGGCATCACAGATGGTCACAGCTGCTTAAAGATCAGCTCATAGCTATTTAATTTTAAAAAATCCAACGTAATCTGCTTTAGTAAGACTTTTGTGCTCTATCAGCACTATTCAAGTGTTCAAAGTGCTACATTCTCAGGCAGCAACATAAGTTAAATGATCGTTGACAGAAAAATAATGAGAAAATATATTTTGCCAGTAACTTCATTAAATGTTTTGTAATTGGTTTTCCTTTAAATATGACAAATAGACAAGGACCATTGGGCAATTTCCAATTTGAAGTTATATGCAGAATTTTCATAGGGTTTCTTGAGATCAGAAGTATGTCCATAAAAGGCCCCAATCAAGGAAAAATTGCTCATCAGCCAGATCATGAAGCAGAAGTTGGCCTTATATTTAAGAGATCAAAAAGAATTGGCAGAAAACTGACCATGTGTTCCCAATTGGGCATCCGGAAGTATGGATTGAAGGGGACATAATGCACCACAATGTACAGCTGACAAATATTTTTAGACTTAGGAAAACATTACTGATGCACAATGCCTGCACTCATCTTTTTAGTGCAAAATCAGGATTGGATAATCTAGAACCATGAAAAATATAGTATTTGAAGCCTGAGCCTTATAACGGTGGCAACTCCTCCACACTTGAGCAAGCTACTCTATTTCCATTTCCCTGCTCCCTCTTTGTATCCTTTTATAATCTATCTATTTAACAGTATTATCCTATTCCCTTTTAAACACTATGATTTCAACTTCAATAGCTGCTTGTAGCAAGCCATTGCATGTTTTAATGGTCTTGTGCATTAAAGGCTATTTTTAATCTCTAGTTCAACTTTTCCAGTGACAATTTCTTTCCCCCTAATTTTTAATTAACAAGCAACAGGAATTATTTTAGGTTCCCTGCAAGCCTTCTCTGTTCCAGTGAAAACTGGCCTAATTTTATCTCTGGGATCATCCATTCAAACTTTCACATTGCCCGTTTGACAATGACCAGTACTAGTATACACCAAGTTGAAAAAATTGACAATGTATGATCATCTATAGTATGTAGAAATGATACACAGAGGACTATATCAAAAATGTTATCAAGATTTGTATGGACTATATGAGACACCAGAGCCACAATCTTCCCTGAGAAGTATTCTGGAAAGTTATGTTACTTTTACTAAAATTAAATGCTTTTTTAAAAAAAAATGGTGAAATGTTAATATGCAACACTTTTAGAAATAAAAAAGGATACTCACAAACAAAGCTCAAATTGGTAGGATGCTTCTCAAGCTCAAAGAATATTGGTACCTCAACCAAATTTGGTGCACACAGTGCTATGCACTTCCTAAACTTGAAAGCTTTAGAATAATCCTTACTCAAACAAGAATCAAAGGGAACTTACTTGGAAAGGAAATTACTACACATTATTAAAATTTCCTCACTAACAAGAAGTATTTCAGAACATTAAAAGGAGCATTACTGAATTATGCTGTAATTAGTATGCTTAAAAACTCGGCTAGATAACTTCCCTGCCCCCATTTCATTTATGACTGCAAGTGGATAATGCTACTTTGAAATAGATCACTGGTGAGGGCACATTTGAAATACTGTGCAACATTGTGACAAAAGAGTTTAAATGAATAAGATACATGCATTAACTTGGCCACCTCTGCAAGCAACCTTTTGCCTGATCAAGAGATTGCATGAATCTTTATGGGTGGAAATCTGTAGATCCAGATGTCTCCGTTTCCCCTTCCTCAGGGCAATTTTATCCATTAATGTTAAATAGAGTAATTCATAGCAATCACATGTAATAATGTATTATGGCAGTAGTAATCACCTTTCTATGGGATTATTTCAGTCAAATTGGGATCACGAGAATGTTATTCAACTGATAGAGCTGAATGATTACGATTAGATTTATATTCCTATTTGGATATCTGACAACGCAGAAACCCATCATGGTGTGTTAAAGAGTATCCAAACTGAAAAGTCCATGCATCACACCTACACATGCAAATTCGAGAGACAGATTGTGGGAATCGAATGCAGTCTCGCTGCATGGAGGGACACATCCTGCTTACCTAATTCCAGAAAGTATTAGGCATAGATTGGCAAGTGCCAAGGCTTGGTGACCCCAGAATGGACTTGCTGTAACCCAACCAGCTAAAACCACATAGTTTGCCACTGATATCACTGTCTGTCTGTCAAGCTGCCACACTGCTTGTCCAGCTAGGACCACCCTACCCGTTAAGGCTTTGGCTTGCAGGAATAACAGGAGCTGAGTGGGGTGATTCCTCCGTTGAGCCAGACTGGTTGTGCTGGTGTATTGCGGTCCTGTCTGGCTCAGGAAACGGACTACTGAGACGGCCACAGAGGGTTGGCTCGATTCCAACATTCGGTGGTTAAACATCTCACCTTAGAGACAGTTCACGTCCAAGGAGACACCACTTACCTCCCACAAGGAGGAGATTTCAAAAACACTCAATTTTTCTTTGGGGTTAGGAACAAATATTTCACCTTTTTTCTTATTATTATTGTCTTCAGTGGAATAAATAAACTAAGAAGATCCCGTGACATCAAATTACACAATGATTATCGAAGGAGACGGTATTCTGACCTGAAATAAAAAAATTTGTACCATACATTCTCATGTATATTACAGAAAACTACAATACCTAATCAAAAAGCAAAAACATTTGCCCAGAAATGTCAATTAGATACGGATATATTTCAAAACTTAACAAAAATTAAATCTAGCCACAAACTACTAGATTATAGATACAACTGGATTAAAGTCCCAAAGGTAATTAGATTTTTTTTAGAAATGCACAATAGTAAAATCTAATATAAAGATAATGGTATGCAAATATTCACTAATCAGTTGTACTTTTTAATATATCAATTTGTCAACTATTTCTTTGACAGTGTAACAACAAAACAACAAGATTTCATTTATAGAGCGTCTTTCACATCGGGAGGACGTCCCAAGGCGCTGGACTGTTGGGTCAGGACCCGAGCAGGGGGGAAATGGTCAAGGGGAGGGAAGGAGGGAGCAAGGAGGGGGGAAATGGTCAGGGTGAGGGAGGGAAGGGAGGGAGCGAGGAGGGGGAAGAGAGTCGAGAGGGGAGCTGAAGGCTCGGTCAAAGAGAAAAGTCTTGAGACCGGCCTTGAAGGAGGAAAGGGAGGAAGCAATGCAAAGGCACTGGGGGATGGAGGTCCAGAGCCACTAGAGTAACTAATTAAAATAAAATAAATCTATAACTGAACTGCTATTTCTCCACTCTCAGGCATCTTTCATAATAACCAAAATCCCTACAAGAAATGGAAAAACCTCTTTGAAATCAGTTGCAACCAGCATTTATTAATTATGTTAATGATCATAGATAGTTACCCTAGACTACAATCCTGCAAGCATTTTAGAAACCAAGCAAAATACTTTTTTCATAACAGATACATAACAGTATATTCTATGAAGTGCTTGGAGACGTCTCAATGATATAAGGCGCTATATCAAATGCAAGGATTATTATTATGTCCACCTGGGTCTAAATTTATTCCATTAACATAATGGATTAGTATTTCAAAGCAGGCAGAATTTGTGAATTTTTTCCTAAAATACTATAGAAAACAAGTTTCAAAGTTAAAATTGAATTCAAAGATTTGCCAAAATTTGGCACCCTCTAAAATGCTGCATTAATAAGGGTAAATTAGCACCCAGGTCGAATTCCTACCCCAGAGTGCTTTAATTTGTGTTAGTATTTTGTTACTGAAAATATAAATCTCATTTAAAATTAATTAAAATATAAGTGTTACTGAGAATACTGTTTCTCACCTTGGTTTTACTGGGTTCACTTTTTGAATGTAATTGTGTCAACACCAGTCACTAATGTCTCACATGCACTGGGAGTTTGGCGAGAAAGCAATTCAATGGTCCATAAACATTTACTCA